TGTGTAACAATCGCGAAAACCTATGAACTCGATAAGTTCAATTAAGTTTAAACCTTAATATTTAAGCTTGACGAGTGGCAAGTTGTGGTATTAAAATACCCATTGCTCGACTTTGTTTCGCAACAGCTGTTTTCTTTTCTTCATACCGGGGACCGGCCAAAACGTAAGGAAGGGTCGCGATCTCAACACGCACCGACTAATCATCCTCATCCTATTTAACAGCCAGGCTCTTTCGGTGACTGATAATAGTAGTAATTTTACAATTCAAGAAAAAAGTCATTAAAATCCTACCGGATAATTTTATCGATATAAGCAGTTTGCTAATAATTCTATATAAATGTTGTTATATAAGCGATGTTGGAAAAAATATCAATATCGTTCATAAACAAACAAATAAATAGTGTTTTTATCATCCATATAACAAAAACATGATAAAATGCTAGAATGCAAGGGCATTTTCCCCACATAACGTAATCCCCACAAAATCCCCAGACGAGCTATTGAATTGAAATTCCCTCCATTTGGGGAATAATGCAGTTAGTTCAGAAAAAGTCTGACGAAAGAAAATTCGGACGCCTATCGGACGTACGTTGAGTGAATCCGATCCGATAATCGGATCCGACCATCAGACACAAAATCGGATGTACATTCCCGCGCTAAAGCTTAAGTAAATTTTCCTTTTATCCCAGCATTATACACTTCTTAAGGTATTTAAAAGCTGAGGAAAGTATTGGTAGAAACATGAACCAATTACTCAAGAGGACAGCTAATCTCCATACTACAGATGTAACTGTAAAAAAGGTCAAATTTCAGTCTTATATCTAGATTAGCGCTATTCAATAGCCTGGAAGTATTTATATGTTTTAAATCGCCGTGGATATCAATTAATTCCTCTTTAATATGAAAAATAAGAAGTCCGTTTTTTCCTAGTAGTATTATTTAAATATTGATCATGAGCTAAAATGATTTTCTGAACTTAGACAAATATGCGTGTTAATTAATAACACACACACACTCAACATAGACCCACACTAGGGAAACCCTGTGTCGCGGGTGCCATGGACACACACATAGACAACCACAAATTACACCCAAACTCACGAGAGAAATAAATGTAAGCCATACAAAATTTTCTCCCGGCCCGGGAATCGAACCTGGGACCTCCGCGTGGCAGTCCGGCTTGGTAACCGTTCAGCCACGGAGGCAGTTAAGTTAATTGATGGCATTGTGTGTTACAAACTAATTTATAAATTAACGCTTCCTAATATGGGCAGTTTTTTTTAAATATCCATTGACACAACATTTATTTCGGGATAATAAATAAATTCTCTATATCATTGTAGGACATATTTTGAAGGAATTCTTGAAGAATTTTCTTAACCTTTATGTAACAATGTCGATCATCTTTGCCACCTCTGCTGAGGCCGGATAGCTCGCTGGCTCATACTGCGGAAGAGAAGGAGAATCTTATTGCCCCACTCTTTGCAGAGAATTCGCGTTTGGATGCCGCAGGGAACCTACCACCTACTTTACCTCAGGCTGGCTGCACTATGTGGCCAGTATAGTGCAGCCAATAATACGTCAAAAAGAGGTACTTAGAACTCTGCGAAATCTAGACATAAATAAAGCTAGCGGGCCAGATGGAATTCCAGCAAAAGTCCTGCGTAACTGTGCGCCTGAGTTGTCTCCTATTCTCACACGCTTGTACCGCCTCTCACTTGAGACTGGTGTAGTTCCCCGGTCGTGGAAGCTTGTAAACTTGCAACCTGTGCCGAAAAAGGGAAGCAGAGCTGACCCTGTCAACTATAGACCTATCTCAGTCAGTTCCAGACTATGGAACGTGTACTCAACAACCGTCTCCTGTCGTACCTTGAAGACAACGACCTCCTTAGTGATCGCCAGTACGGATTCCCACGAGGGCGATCTACTGGGGATTTTCTTGTGTATACCTGCACATATAGAGCAAGGCTATAGAAAAGCAAGGCGAGGCACTTGCGGTGTCTTTAGACATTTCTAAATATTTCTAAAGCCTTTGACAAGGTCTGGCACGCAAGCCTTTTAAGTAAGTTCCCTCTTATGGGCTTTCCACTGACTTTTGTAATTGGACCTCGGATTTCTTGAGTGAACGTTCGATTCGAGTGGTCTTAGAAGGCTACTTTTCCGAACATACGGCGATAGATAGAGAGTTCCTCAGGGTTCCGTACTGTCTGCAACTCTCTTTCTGCTGCATATCAATGATATGTTAATTCCTTTGCGTATGCTGATGACAGCACAGTTGTAGATAGATAGATACTTGACCAATGCAAGGGTCAGTGGAGAGGAAATCCAGTCTTGTCGAGAGTCCATGGTTTGCCGATTTGATTTGACACTCCAGGTAGTCTCCAATTGGGACGATGTCAATCTTGTCAAATTACGCTACCAAAACGCAGGCGTGTCTATTCTCAACATAACGGAGTTCCTGTGAGCTGACTCCAACTTTTCGTGATATATTCATACCGATGCCCGACTGTCTCCATTTATTTTTCTTTTTATCATTAACTTTCAAATAATAAATTTTAACATTACTTCGTCTTGATGAATTTGATCTCTTAGTTCTCCTAGTCATAGGTTTCGTGCAGAGATCGTGTTATAACTTCTTTATTAATTTGGTAAATACGCCGTCTTGCGGTATTGTTTCGATGGCAAAAATGAAATTTCTTAGAGGCTAATTCAAATTCTGTGAGATCTAGCTTAAGCGAGTTTGCGTTAAGGATCTGTTACGCGGTATTTACCAACTGCTCTCTTCTTCTCTCTCAATTTGCACGCGCAGTAACGATATGGTCAAAAATAACTATTTGGTACTAGTCACGACATCTGGTGTACCAGTAGGTACTAAATACCGGCCTACGCTGTCTTGTATCACGATTAGCAGTCCTCTCGTTTTATTTGTCCATGGTAGAAATAAAAGAAAGAAATTTGAAAGAACTAATGCCTGGCAATACAAACATTGGTGTCAAAATCAATATTATCCCACACAGACTAGGTTCTACTTTATCATAACTGGGTTCATGCTTATAGTTTCATGATAAGAGATCTGAAGTTGCAAAACCACAGAGGCAGACGGACCAGTGCGACGAGGACGGCTTTACAAAGATGGTGAAGAGGAAGCCCACCAGCCTGTGTGGTACAGCACCGACAGTATTAAACTTTTTGACCTGTCGCGACAACATTACGAAGGTCTTGGTAGATAGTGGAGTACATCAGGCTAAAAGCCAAATACACCCTGAAGGTCGAGTGGTTGGAGTCCCGCCCACAACGTGAATTTTAATACGTTTGTGGTGAGAGTGCCGACCGACCATCTATCGACTTTCATGAAGGAAGAGTTTTGGCCGAAGGGTGTCATATATTGGCGATTCCGCGGCCGGTTACCTGACACCAGATTGCGCCACATGTCGCCGACAAGTGCAATACGTGTAGATTAGTTTATTTTATTGTTATATTATATTGTATGTATGTATGTCCTTAAGGTGTATATCGTATAGGTCATGTGGCCTGAAATAAATGTCTAAATAAATAAATTATCTTTTTTAGAATGGCCAGTGATCAGGCAGATCTGAATATAAAGCTAATGAAATGGCGACTAGTACCTGAGCTAGATGTGACGGTAATGGGCAAAACCAGTTGTTTGCTATTAGGTGCTGGTACGTTGGGAAGTCAAGTGGCGCGAGGTTTGTTGGTAAGTTGTTATCTATCACTGTATAGGTACCTTATAGTACAGTAGACCTCCTTGTCAAAGAGCTCGTCCATAGAAGTATTGCTAACTTACGTATTTCTGCCAAGCAGCAGCAGCAATGTCAGCACTACTGCGTTCTGATTTTGAAAGGTAAGGGTGCTGGTGAAATTACAGCCACATGGGACTTCTTACAACTGAGACGTACTCAGGGTGGCGGGCGCAGTGGCAGTGCCGCTCAGAGCTTTGTGATTTAAAGCTCTGAGTGGCACTGCAACTGTTATGAACAGGCGTGTCGCTTACCACCAGGCCCACGGCTTGTTCGTCCCGTCACTTTATATCATAAAAAAAACATGTATAGAAGAGTTACTGCCCAAGAATACTCGCTTACTGAAATATATCTACAAAATAAAATTTTGTTAAGCACAAGTAAAAAATCTCAAGCGAATTGGAATGACATTTTACGTACACGACCGGAAGAAGTGGGGTGAAGCAGCGGCGCGCGTTTTTTAATCTTTCGTTTATTCTATAATCATAGAATGACCAACGTTATTTCAAACTACTCATGGAAAGCATCGGCAATTTCGTGATTGGTTAGCTATTTGTCAAAAGTGTGGACGACTACTGCGTCGTACTTTCGATATTTTCGAATGTGTCAAAAACATTATGGGGAACACCATTTACGTTTGCCACTTAATTATTGCATTTTCAGGCTTGGGGATTCCGGACGATAACATTCATAGACAATGGTAAAGTCTCATTTTCAAATCCTACGCGACAGTGCCTTTATAATTTCATGGATGCTTGTCATAGCAAGATGAAAGCAGAGGCTGCTGCAGCCGCTGTACAACAGGTTCTACCTGCTGTAGTAAGTAAATTACTCTTCCTATTTACAACAGCAGGCTACAGAGAAATTTATTATTCTTTAATTGTTTTACTGTGTTCTGTGAAAACTAGTTGTCATGTGCTAAATCGACCTAAGTGAATAGCGTGCATCATTCGCGTATACACCCTAGATGTAATGTAGAAGTTTAAAAGCCTATTCTTCTGCTATCTATGTAGCTATCTCCATCAATGCAATTTTCCATATTCTTTCTAATTAAAAATATTTGCAAAAAGCAAATAAACGGAGTAGTTGCAAAAACTAAATTATCCACTAACTGAATAGCTACTACTAACTGTATGGTGTCAAGTAGACACGTACGCGTACCTAGTACTACAAAACCACACACCCAGACATACACACACAATACACAATTACTATTACATTTTAGATTTTTATGTATATTTTTATTCCTTTATTATTATTAATAATACTTTTAAAAAGAATCTCATGCTTACCACGTTTAGTAAAAAGTAGTCACTAATGTAATTTGTATCAAATTGCAAATTTGGTTTTTTGACTCCCGACGAGAAAATGGAGTTTGAAGCCTATACTATATCTGTGTCTGTCATATATCTCAATCACTGGACTGATTTTAAAGAATTTTCCTTTTATTTGAATGCTAATTTAATCGTGATAGTTTTTAGCTATGTTTGGTGAATATATGTTCAGCTGTATCAAAGATCTCTTCGACTTCCCAGTTAGAGTAAGGATCTCAGGTATAAAGTAAATATGTTTCTCTTGTACTATAGACTTGAAATTTCCCATATTACAATAATATGGTAACTTTAATTTTGATCTGATGCTAGGGGTGTAGTCTTCTCCGTCCGAAACAATTATGTACCGTCAAGTAAGTAATAATCGACCAAATTTTAAGGCAATTTCAAGTATGAAGCTTCATTCGCATCATGCTTCTTTTCATTTGGTCGATTATTACTTATTTGACAGTAATTGTTTCAGTCGGATGTCGGACAGAGAACGAGAGTAAGCACCCAGTTACACGACCGCGCGGCAACCGCCCAGATACCACGCTTTCACGTACATTAATGGCGAATCTGAATTCTATTTACTTGGCAACATTTAAATTCCTCTGAGTAATAGAATCGCGCGGTGCGACCTCCACCGCGGCGCCCGGAATGCTCATTTAAGTTAAAACGTAAAAAGCTAAGTAATTAGAGCGTACTTTGCCATGACAGTTAGATGCACGCGGTCGCTGCGCGGCAGTGGCGTGAGCGCGGTGAACTTCGTGTCGCATAAAATGCGCCCTAAAGGGCCTGGAACCAGGACAGTTACCCAGTTTCTAAACTACTTACAGCAGAACTGTCGCGTTCTGTCATTTAATTGATCTCGACGTAGTAGTTGGCTTATAGATGGTTATTTTTTTGAATACACTGTTTGGGATCGGGTTTTTTGTATTTTAATTAGTTTATATATATGTCATACACTGTGATCTGTGTGGTGTCTTCTATGTAGTGACTAGTTGTTAGGTATGATGATTGTGATAACATTATGTACTGAAATACTAGCTATGAGCCTACTAGATAGAACTTACATTACCTTAATTGTGTCGTATTATACTAAGCAATACAGAATTTATATTTCAGACGAGCAAAGGCATTGTTGCCCACATACCCATGCCCGGTCACCCTGTAGGAGAATCTTTGAAGACCGAGACGATATCAAGCATCGAGACGATTACGGAAGCCATTCAACAGCATGAAGTCATTTTTCTCTTACTGGATACGAGAGAAGCTAGATGGTTACCCACTTTACTTGGAGCGCACTTCGGAAAGGTGATACATAATGCAATAAAGTTAGATGTATGGAAAGACGACATGACTGCGTTTCACATAAAGAACAATGGCAAAATCATAGTTAAAAGAATTCGTTAGCGTCTTCAAATGTCTTAATTATAAGTTTGAATAAAATAAATTCATTAGAATTATAATAGCGGCCTATCTAAGTCTGGAAATAAAATCACATGTTAAAGAAACTGTAATGACTAATTAGTATGGAACCGTACTGATATCTGCAACTATCAGTTTTTTTAGTGTGTTAACGTTGAGCGACATCTAATATAATAATATATAACATCGAATAAAAGACTTCATAAGTTTGTCACAGGTGGTGCTGACGTCAAAAAAACCGTTTAACCTGATACAAAGATCTGTAACAAACATTTATAGAGAAATCCGTAAGATCAAAAAAAAATTTCTTCTTTGTATCAATAATAATAACGTATGACCAAAAAACAAAATCCGCAACAAAGAGGCACGTGTAATTTGCAAAAGACATTACTTAAAACTAAATGTTTATCGAACAAATCATAAAAAGGTTCGAATCCGGCCGGATCGAAGGATTTTTTTCTGAGTGTTCGATCTATGTGTTAATAATTATAACAGACTAGTGGAGGTTATTCCACTTTTATTTATTTTACTATTATTTATATTATTACTATTGAATTGATATTCAATTATTTTTATGTGAAATTATTCACATAAAAATAATTGAATATCAATTCAATAAACATTTAAATCATAAAAACTTAATTCGTTCGATAACGATTTCACGCATTCGTGATCATGCATGCATGCATACATGCAGTCGTGATCTCGGCTGCATGAAGTTGATTACGGTTTCACGCATTAATTGCAAACATAAAGTCAATCTGTTAGCAGCCTTAAACCCATTTCCGTATAATACGTATAAAATGATAAGCGGCGAATGGAAGAAGCAACAAATATAACAGAATCCACTTGACACAGTGCCGTGATAATCATGCGTTCACATATGATAAATAATCCTTTTGTTCGCAGATTGTAATAAACGCGGCGCTAGGGTTCGACAGCTATTTGGTGATGCGACATGGTCTCAACAAAACCCCACCGCAAGAGGGCACCAGTGTACATTCAACGTACATATCTGGGTCGGAACTCGGGTGTTACTTTTGTAATGATGTTACCGCGCCTGGTGATGTAAGTTTTTTACGTTTTCTAAGTACAGGGAATTTCGTAGTTTATAACCAACAGCCGGCCTTACCATTACAGGCAAAACTTGCGCGAGTAAAAATACTTTTTTCCTGTCTTCCGATTTCAACACTATTACAGCATATTAGTATGCGTTAATAGTAATTTATGCCTGTAGAGGTAAGTCGCGTGGAACAACATTATTTAAAAGTAAATTGACATCTTGGAAAAGATATATTGTTGATTTTTGTGTAATTGTAACACATTTGTGTCGCACGCTTGTATAATTAGGTCACAACGGATGTTCTTGTACTAAATAATAAAATTTACTGTTACAGTCAATGAAGGATCGCACTTTAGATCAGCAATGCACAGTGACGCGACCTGGTGTGTCGGCTATTGCAGGCGCATTGGCCGTCGAGCTACTCGTCGCCATGTTACAACATCCTTTGAAGTAAGTTAACTCGGGCACACATCGTAGATACACTCCCGGACGCATAGTTCTAGCCACCACGCATTTTCAGCATTAAGTTCCATAAGCTTAAACAATGTTTGATTGATCAAAAACTATTATGCAATTTTGAAACTAGTATACTAAACGTCTTTTCCATTAGCAGAGAACAAATAAGTTATGAGAACGGACACTCACCGCCCCTCCCAAGCTTTAGATACCACACCACGCCCCGCACATTGACTGAACGAGAACTAGGCTGTCGGCGAGCCGTTTCCGCGCTAAGAGGGCTTTGATATTTGAATATAGTTTCATTTATTCATTACGAAATGTGTACGTTAATATATAACATGATTTTACATTACTATTTATAATGGTCGTGAATTATGCTGTGTACGGATGTTTATAGTCATCTAAACGGGATAAAGAGAGGAGTCTCTTTCGTTTTTTGAAAGATCTCTCATTTTGTTTTTGTTTTCTTTAGTGCAGAGTAATATATAATACAGATATATTGTATCAATATAATCAGACGCCACAACATCGTGAGCTAGTCAAGGGTTCTCGAATTTTCAATTTGTATTGCTGATAAATATTACGTAATGAATATACTTAATTGTTAACTAGATAATGATAAACTTGGACACGCAATTTCAGATACTTTGGTTACCTTATTTAAAGATACCTGCCCAAAATAAATGCTTTTAATATCTTTTTGAAGTAAATCTTCAATATTATTCTAGTTAGTGAATTAATGAAAAATATAGTATTATATCGATATAAATACGCAATTAACATGTGTAATTATTACGATTCTATAATAAAATTATAGATAACAGATTCGTGTTAGAATTTTTGCTACGTTGCCGCTCTGACCACGTAACGTAATAGTACGAGCAAGTGATGGGTAAACTTGCCACTTCATGCACACATTTGCGCGTGTGCAGATACTATTACTACTACTAGATATTGTTCTATGTAGTAGTAGTAGTAGGTAAATAATTTACGACCGTTGTATGGAGTGTGCGGGGTGTGCCATAAGTCCTTGTTGGGAATTTGGATTTGCAAAACCTAAACTTTTTTTTCGATGATAACATTATTTCTGTATTCTATCCCTTTACAAAAATACGAGGTGACTCGAATTGCATTTGGGAGGATATAATATAGTAGCAATAGAGCTCCTTGTGAAAGAGTTCGTCCAGAGTAGTACCGCCACCTTGCCTACTTCTGTTGCCAAACAGTAATGTGAGCATTACTGTGTTCCGGTTTTGAAGGGTAAGGGTGCTGGTGAAACTATAGGCATTACCAGTTACTGCACTACACTGTTTAAGCATCCCAGCTTACGTTGATACATACTTACGTCTACGTATTATAAACTTTTGATCTATATAGGAGCTATCCCAGTGGCAGAACTCACAGGTCAGGAACAGTCAAGGTTGTGGAGCTGCTTAGTTCTGAGAAATCCGTTATGTTTGAGGTGAAGCAAGGACTGGTTCTAGTTTCAACATTATTTCATATGTATAACGATCTTATTAATTATCTGACATATCTTTAAAAGGTGCAAATGACACCAAGCCATATGAATCTTCTGTTCCATATATAAATGTACTAACTCGATTGAAACATATGAAACAGCAATAACAATATATAACCATTTAAAATTAAAAACAAGTTAGCTTTAATGAAGTCGGCAGGTACCTCAAAAAAGGGGACTAAGAGACCCCCACACTAGCGTCTTTCTTGCGTCAGCCGAGCGAACGCAAGCACAGCGTCGACACGACGTCCGTGTGGCGGCGACGTAACGCCAGCGCGGTGTATACGCGACACGTCCGACACTGTTTAGAGGGTCTATTCCCGTTCTCCGTCAAACATCCGTCCGAAACAATTACTGTCAAATAAGTAATACTTGACTAATGACGCGACCCGACGCTTGATGCGAATGAAGCTTTATACTTGACATTGTATTTAGAGTTGGTCGAGTCGAGACAGTAGACCGAGTAATTGTTTTGGACGGCTATTGGACTGAGAACGGGAGTAGTAGACCCCCAGCAGTCGCTCACTGACGCCGCGTTGGCGTTGTGCCGCCGCCGCGCGGACGTCGTGATGACGCTGTACGTACGTTGGAAATATGCTGCGCTCGAAAGACGCTAGTGTGGGAGATCTCTTGTGATTCATATGATTGCTTCAGAGTACTTTTTTTTAGAAATTACGAATTGCATATTGTCCAATGTTGATGGTTTCTGTGTTACATTGCAGAGCTCAAGCCCCCGCTCTCTATAATTTCAACGATGAAGATAACCAACCAACAGACTTGCAAGGTGTATTAGGTGCCATACCACATTCCATCAGGGGTTTCCTTCATAACTACCAAAACGTTGCGCCCACTAGTCGTAAGTTCGAGCAGTGCATCGCCTGTTCCGATATTGTGGTCAAACAGTATAGAGAAGAAGGAATAGAGTTCTTATTAAAAGTGTTCAACAGTGGAAAATATTTGGAGGAACTCACTGGATTGTCGGAGTTGCATTTAGCGGCTGAAGTTACCGATGTAAGTGTACTGCGTGTTTATTTCCTTAAAGCACAAAATTTTCACTCCCTGTAATGGTTTCCAAATGCCCCTTACCAGAGTGCTACTTGTCTAATTTCAAAAGGCTCTTAACTCCGTTAAAGCATAACCGCATATTCCCAGAATGTTTGAAAATAAATATATAGTGTTCGATCTTTGTATTAATAATTATAACAAACTAGTGGAGTAATTTCACATAAAAATAATTGAGTATCAATTCAATAAAATTTAAATAAATATTGTATCAGATCATTCGTTCGCACGTATTTGTACGTGTTTATCCGGCGCCAGCATTGGTGTATTCCGCGCCTCACACTGCAACCTATTAGGTATATTAGGCTATAAGGTCTATACTGTGACGATTGTTCGGCGTCTATAGTCTATTCAAGTTAGCGACCTAGTAATAGGCTCGTCTCTTTCGCACTACTTCATAAAATTTGATAAGACATAAGATGATATAAAGTAGGTATAAGGTTAAGTGGGCGTTAAAATAGTAAAGGCTCGTGCATAAGTGTTTAAAAATTAAAACAAAAATATGTTTTTTATTCATTTCTATAATAATTTTTTCAACAATCTCACATTTTACGTCAGTCAATGTCTTAACCCGAGTCACGAGTCAGAAGGTATCAGTCCATTTAGGCTGTCTTTCCACCAGAGATGTGCGAGGTAGCGAGGAGGTGCAAGGATGTGTACTGGCGCTGTGAAACGGTGCTATGTTTGCCACCAAAGCTGTGCGAGATTGCGTTATGAACTCTCTTCAGCTGTGCGCGGGCGGGGTACCGTGTGGTGGGGTGAGCGGTGGCGATATGTCAGTGTCACTTAGTGTCATACTTTCAGTAGCTCTATTTTCCTACACCGTTTTGCACACATTCCTCGCACACATTTCTCGCTATTTTATATGTGCAAATACTTAGCTTCGCTAAACCGGAGCTATGCTAGCGAGGCTTGGATTTTCCCTCGCACACTGCCTCGCTACGTCGCACATCTCTAGTGGAAAGGCAGCCTAAGAAAGCCAAAGTCGCAGGTAAAGAGTCACAGATAAGTAGCAAACAGAGAAAACAACGCACGTCCGCGCCGCATAGATGTGAAAGCCGACTTATTAGCTTGCCATTATGAATGCGGCTTTAGTGACTTATCTCTAACCAATCACGTGCGGCTGTCTTTTCTCAGTACTAGGTCGCTAACTTGAATAAACTATAGTATGAAATGTATTGACGGAGCGATTTTCATCGTTTGCCTATCAGAATACTGAATGGATGCGGCCAGATTTAGGCCAAAGAAATTTTAAACATGTTTAGATTTGCCATGTAACTTGTCTACGAGTCACGATTCTCTAGGACGTTTACTATTCTTATTACAGCACTTTAAGCTGCAATACAAATATAAGTATCATTAATCATTTAAATCCTTGTTTTGTTACAGTTAATGGCTTTATCGGACGATGAAGAAGATTGACTTTTAGGACAAAGTGACAATTTAAAGAAATCATAAATCAGTTAATTACGATATAAAATGTCGCTTCTATGTCTCGCAATGTGATATTTACTGTTTAAAGCTATCAAGTTAAATTTTGACTTTGGCCTCGTTGTGTGTTATTAATAGAAGAGCGACTGAAGGACTTCAATCCATGGTCATGAAATAAATATAATAATATTATATTAATAGAAGCAATTGCATTGAATTACTTGATTTCAAAGTCGATACTAAGTACGCAGTGACACGAGCTGCGTGCTAAATGCACGAATTGTAAATTAGCAGTTGCAATGCAGTTTGTATGTTTACGCCTTAACGCTGGTGGTAATATTGTGGCTTTTATTGTCTACAAATACTTGTTGCCCTCTTATGTAAAAAGTACTGTAAATGCCTGTGCCATAATCCACTAATCACACTAAAATTATGAAGTCGTAATAAGTATCGGATTTTCTATACCTTTCCAGTTTTTTTGTATAACTTGATATAATTAAGTCTCACAGCACAAAAATGCTCATTTTGTTGCAATAGAAGCTTTAAGTGTTATTCTTTTGTATTGTTCAAAGATATGTATAATATAATGATATTTGTACGAGTATAATAAAGGAATCTCTTATTAAAAAGTATACATTTTGATGTTACATTGTATAACATTTACCATATGTATATTGAATATAACTTTAATAATAGACCTTTTACAACAGCCTTCAGTGACGTCGACACGGCACATTGTAGTGAATTACTGGGTTCAATCCAGTATCTTATTTATATTCTTCCAAAATAGAAATAGCTCTTACCTAGTCGTGTGGCATTGCATTTTTGAACACTTTTTTCATTCATAACAACAAAACTTATTTAGTAAATTCTTACACGCGCGTCTAGTACATTTTCGGCTTACTTCTTGAAAAATTATACAATTACGCTCACAGATAATTTATCACAAGTTCTTTTATTAAGAGTCGATAGTACCTCAACTGGAATTCAATTTTTTTCCTGGACTGACTCGGTTCTATTGCGCGGGTCGAGTGACACTGGCTTTATTTCAGAAATTATTTTTTTTACACACGAATTTAAAGTCATTTGAAAAACGTATATCGCATACTATCTCTACGTATCTATCGTACATGTTCTATTTATACTTCAGTTGCATTGACTTACAAATAAATGGACGACGGGTCTAATACAAAAACCACGAAAAAAATGTCCCAAGTCAACCTATTCGAAATTTAAATTGTAATGTCATCGCAGTATCGCGCTGTCAGTCGAACAAATGAAGACTAAAGCGGAGTGTCGCGCTCTGTATACGATTTTAGCGCCTTACAAGTGCGGACACTTTTTAGCGCGGACCCGACGTCCATATAATTGTAAGTCAATGTTCAGTTGATATAAAAAAAATTAGTATATGTAAAATTTCGAGGTAAGTTTGTGTGTTTTTTTCTATCGAGAAAATTTTTAGGAATCGTATTTTCACACCGTATGGTGATCAGTGTATCCTCAATTTTACTATGTTTTTCAAAGTGCATCGACACTTTCACTGTTATGCGGAATTAACCAAAGCCCTCTGTATCGACTCCTAATATACGTAAAATGTAGAGTTAACAACTTTATCAGCATGTACCACACAAACATAAGTAAACGCACCCGTCCTAAAGGTAAAAAGCAATCTATTACAGATATATGTTATATACTGTACGTGTGAATTAGGCTAAGTTCAGATGGCAAAAATATAACGCAAGTTTTCAAATCGCCATATTTAAAATTTACATACATTCGTTTATAATATGTACTTGTTCAGAGACCTGAGTGTAAATATTATCAAGCAAACTTAACTGCCGCGTTTGCGTTAAGATTTTTATTTAGATCTTAATTATATGTCAGGTTTAAATTAAAATCTTAACGCAAACGCGGTAGTTAAGTTTACATATTTGAAACTTACACTAAAGACAAGAGACGTGTAGAGTTGCGACTTGTCACTTCAACGACTTGCGCGCATTCGGTGCGCGTTGCATCTCCTCACCTACGATACATCGCGCGTTTTATTGTATTTGGTTCTATGAAATAAAATTTGTATCATCTACTTAATACAATTTACTAAAATTTTACAACTTATTTGCAATTGATTAAGGAGTCATATTGAGCTTAATGGCAGGTAGAGGGAAATTAGATGGATTCCGGATTTCCTTGACTGGTTTGGGCGGTTTGATCTTGCGACCGTGACGACCGCTTTTGCGTTGCCAAAGACCGGAACGCGGTCGGTTGCCGAGCCAACGATTGCGCTGCGGCGACCCTATTGGCGTGTCGCCGTGATCTACGTTTGAAAGACGACCTGTGAATTATTTTTATTTATAATCAATTAATTCCTATTTGTGGCTGAATAGGATTAAATTCACCAATTTAATTTTACCAACAACATTTATAATGTATGTACCGTATTTAAGCAAATAAATGATATTTTATGTTTATTTTATTTTTCTTTAGCGCTTCATGGAAAACCACCAACAAAAACTGTTTTCTTATGTGCTCTGGCATAGAGAGAAATTTTGGAAATGTTTCTTAAACTCGTTCAACTGGGATGACAAAGCACTGTGTGAGATGCACAGTGCTTGCTTCTTCTTTTTATCGTATCGATGACATACACTATAAAGCTTGCCATAGTTGTGAAAGGATTTGCCAATTAGGGCTTGCTCATTATGTATTAACGGTGAAGTTACGAAAGTTATCAAACGGATGCCTAGAGTGCAGGTAATACATACCAACAACAGCCATACAATGCATGTCGAAGCTAAACTGTCGCTTTGAAGGCATCTGGACGATTACCCTGTCGTCTTGTTTCCTCAATATGGTGCCGAAAGTTCCAGCTGCGTGAATGTACAGGCCACCTTGACCTGAAGAAAATTTTATACAACTAAATTTTTTTTATGATATCAAAAAATCTACAACCCCCTCTAATAAGTTTTTAATATTTTATTTAGTTACAGTTTTATTGTCCAAAATTAGCACAATTTACTTTACTAATCTTTAGGTGTTATTATATAGAAAGTTACCAAAATACAAAAGTTTCGAGAATGTCTACACAAACCTGGTTCTTTTTCAATACTATGTACCAGCGTGCCAGTTGGAAGAGCTCCTAGCACATATGCATCACCTTCATTTGCTCTCACTGAAATATAAATTCAAACTATTGATTATTTTCGAAAGTAAAGGCTGGCAAATTATATTTTGAACCTGGTTATGATGTACAATTCTAGAGAATGTTAATATTTATTTTACTAGCAACATAAATATAATTTCGAACATTTACTACACAATCATCACAAGCAAATCCTGACGCAAGCTTTTACATACATAACTTCTACTTGTATAACATAAAACAAGTTACCAGGGATCCTAGGTAAATGCCTGGAAGTCTTGAGGATATCTCCAGCTTTCATGTTCTCTGTAGCCAGTATGTATTTAAGCTTATCTCCTACTGCTACCAAGGCTATGTGAGCTGTCCTGCAGCCATCTTCCATAACCTGCAATTAAAAAACTGTGAAAAGATCTATATATTAAATTATATTTATTATTAGCTCTATATATTAAATTAAAGTAACTATATATTCTGCAACATGGTGAGGGTCTTAAATTATTGAAAATTTAAGACCCTCACCATGTTGCAGAATATTTTTTGCCATCATGGCGCGTAGTTGATGTCAAGAGAGCCACTTATTCTTCTTTGGGACATGCCGCATGTCGCCAGGTTGTGTTGCCGGGTTAAAATAACTTACAAACAAACAGAAAGGCCCTGTGTATTAGCTTCGTCATATAAAACAAGGAACTGAAGTGTCATATTTCACCAGTTTCATCTATCCTTGTCTTAGTATTTAAACTTTTAAAATATTTATACTATATTTTTGAATGTTCATCATTATTTCATTCATTCATCATAATTAATTTATCTATATTAAACTCACAATATAGTGTTAAAAATAACTAGTAAATCTCTACATTGTTGAATTAGTTAAAATTCCTAAAACTTATGAAAACCTGTATAACTTTTTCTTCCTGAGGGGGTCCTTCACTAGGTCCATCTCTCAGCCAATGTATCCAATGGTACTTGTGTTTTATGCCACCACCAATACCTTTTGCAACTATGCGACCTAGAAAAATAAATATTTTCGTATTAACAACAAACATGTTAAAAGGAAATAAAATAATAAGAACTGAACAATATATAAAAATTTGAACCTCGTAAAAGAGTAATTACAAGAAATAACATTAGATTTTAATAAACCGAAAATTGTGAATATTAAAAAATATTTGTCAAATTTAATAAAAAAACAAGTTACCTACCTGTTTCTGGGTCCCTGCCGGCCAAGTTTGTTACTTCTAATGGTTTAACACTATATTCTTCTGGAAAATGGACAATACGTCTGTAACTTTTGCCGAAACCTGGTTTAGGTTTTACAACATTAGGTTTGCTCGCGAAATTTATAGCAGTAATGTGTATAGTCCTTCTAGTTATCATCGACTGTCCGGCTATAGTTAGTCCAGAAAATAACCTATTCAATGCCATAATTTATAAGGCTTTTATTTTAAAGTTAAACACAAAAACGAAAAAATTAAAACTATAACCTCATTAGATAAATAACCTCCCATTCAAGTTTTTCTGGAAATTGACGAGTTTTGACAATTCTTTTTTTTTCTAAGGGTTTCTACGAACGAATAAAAATATTCGTTGTCGTCGACGTGTCGGTGTCGGACCGGACTCTGACTGACTGACATTCTTAATTCTTTTTATCAGACAACGTACATATGGTACGAACGACCAGCTGAATGACTTTAAATCATTGCTCTTAAAAAAAAAGTTAAAAATGACTGCCGCGCCCCCTGACGACAATTTTATGATTAAAAACGTCGTGAATGTGGCGTGTGTTGTTTGGAATATCGTGAGTCGTAAATAAAAATGCACTCGTTGGATAATTAAATCTTGATCTTAGTGCAATTCTTATGTATCAGAACAATAATCCTGCAATCCGCTGTCTGTAAATAATAAGAACTGGACGCAAGAAGTGTTTAACTTTTGTTATTTTGTCATATGTTGCACGCCTGTCTTGGGGTCTGGAATAGGACAAAAAAAATAATCAGTTATTCCGATGCTAAATTGATAATGCGGTAAGTTTTATTTTGTTATTTGTTGTGTATTTTGCATAAGGTTACTGCAGAGTCACTATTTACGTTTACATCTGCCGTTTTATGCAGGTACTAGAAGCAGGTTACTAAAGTTGGTCTTCACAGTTGGATTTTGAGCCAATATAGACGAATTGGTTACATTTCAAGGAATCTTCAAGGAAATAAATAATGATCTGTTTGTCTCTGACTTTCAAAGACTGTGTTGACTCGTTTACGTTACATTTATATTTTTTTGTTACAGAAATAGACACAAGCAGTCTTCCGGCACGTTGTTAAGCTTTCTTGTGACAATGCGAAGTCTTACTCGCCAACTTATTTGCTAATTCATGATGGTTGTCAGATCTGAAACTGAATAGTCTCACGATGAGTCACAATTTGGCGGGTATGCCGTCGTACAGGCTGCCTGGCCCTGGGCTGGGACCGCCGGACTTCAAGCCACCGATGGATACGCCGACCTCATCGGCGCCGGCGCCTAGCAACCCGAAGAAACGAAGAAAAACTAATAACGCCAATAATACCATTACACCTCAACCACCTCCAACAGCACAGGACCTATTGCCACCTCCATTAACAGGATATGGAGACACTATTGTGGCATCTAACCCTTTTGATGACTCTCCATCCACTGTCTCGTCCTCACACAATGGACCAATGATGAGTCAAAATGGGCCAATGATGAACCAAAACGGTCCCATGGGTATGATGGGACCTATGCATGGTATGGGTGGACCTCCAATGAGGCACATGAGCCCTCTACCTCACAACATGAGTCCTATGAATCAGCAGATGCCACCAAGAGGTGGAATAAGTCCAATGGGTAACATGAGTCCTATGGGTCATATGGGTGGTATGTCACCAATGGGAGGTCCGAACATGGGCATGAGCAACCACAGTATGGGTCCAGGCATGGGACCACAATCCAGGTCCATGGGCAGCCCAATGAGTCCTATGAATTCTATGCCAATGGGTTCACCTATGTCGTCTGGACCTTTAGGTAGCCCAATGAATATGGGGTCAATGGCTGGAAGCCACATGAGCAATAGTCCTATGGGACCACCTATGCATAGTCCATTAGGTGCAGGTTCAATGAACGGTCCTATGAATGGCCCTATGGGAGGAGGAGGCCCTGGTATGAATGTTCCTAGGATGAATGGCCCAATGGGCCCCAACTGTTCTAATGGCTCTATGGGCCCCAGTAGTTCTATAATGTCATCAAGTCCGATGTCAAGTGGTGGTATGGGTCCTGGTCACTGTGGTCCAATGAGACATGGAAGTCCGATGGGATCAGGAATAGGAAGTGGACCTATGGGTGGCAATGGGCCTATGACATCTATGGGACCAGGCCCTCCATATAGCGGAAGTCATATGGGACATGGGGGACCTATGGGGATGGGTGGAGGGGGATCTATGGGGATGGGCCCAGGTCCAGGTAATATGGGAAGTTGCGGTCCTTTAGCTGGTATGAGTGGTATGGCCATGGGGGGTCCAGGAGGCCAAGGCGTGGGACCAATGGGACAAGGAATGGGTATGTTTGGTCCTAAACCAATGCCTGTGAGCGCTGGGAAAGTGTATCCTCCAGAACAGTCAATGGTGTTCAACCCTCAGAATCCAAATGCGCCACCCATTTACCCATGTGGAGTATGTCACAAAGAAGTACATGATAATGATCAAGCTATTTTATGTGAATCTGGATGCAACTTTTGGTTTCACAGGTAAGTAATAACACTATGATAGTAATAACACTAAAAGTTACTTGCTAGCCTTGAAGATGGGGCACCGGTATTCATTATTTAATTATTAAAATAATATTTAATTATAAATAACATTGCTGTAGTCAGTGGGAAAAAGTAATTCTTTAAACTCTTCAGGCAGGCCTACAGCTTAACTTGTCAATTTATCAATCAGCCTAATTTAAAATAAATATTGTTTAAAAATATTAATTAAATAAATATACTTTCTGATACAGAGGTTATTTACAGAGCAAAAACAGGATACTGTAAAATTCCCCCATGCAAGTTAGGCTCTATGACATGGACTTGTGCAAACTAGATTGCTCAATGAATGCTGATACCTGCTTTCTCTTACTTACTGCATCACAGTAACACATCTTTGGAGTTTCATTAATAGCAGTACATTTTATATATTTATTTTAATTTAGTAGTATTTGATTCTCAGGGTCGTATTCCAGAACTCTACTCAATACTCAAGTAAGGACTTGAGTATTGCAGTGAGCACTGAAAATCATACTCAAGTCCTTGCCATTAGGGTCTTATTTCCAGTGCTTGAAATCATACTCAAGTCTGCTCAAGTCCTGATTTGAGCATTGAGTAGAGTTCTGGAATATGACCCTAACACTCGGTTACCTCTTCAAAAGGTTCAATATCACTCTCCTCTCCTCTCTCTCACGTAAGTTGTTCATGTTTTGTTTGTGTCAGTCAAAATACCATTTTTACCTTTGTAACTTCAATATTATGTTCTTTTTTTTATGTACGTTATAGGTTATATGTTTGGAAGTAAACATTGTTTATTTTTAAATATGGAACGTATAATATATGTACATAAAAACGCATATATTTAAGTTACAAAACAAAAAATGTATTTTGTCTTACAATAACTTATGTGCGAGGTATCAATATAATATGTATGTGTAATGAATCTTCTGTTACCTTGAGCTACACCTGTACAGGACAATATAAAAATTGCCACACAATCTTGCAGTGGACATGACAATGTTTAATTCAAAACGCGATTTCTAAGGTGCTTTAACCAAATTAACATTTCTCATTGCACTTTCCAGGGGCTGCACAGGCCTAACAGAGCCTGCGTTTCAACTACTTACTGCAGAGGTTTACGCCGAATGGGTTTGTGACAAGTGCCTGCACTCTAAGAACATCCCTCTAGTGAAATTTAAGCCATAGCGTTGCGCTTTACCCTCCCCTCTACTTTTACCCCCACTATAACTCTCACCCTCTTCCTACATCACAAAATATTTATTTCACGTCATTGATGAACACTATAAAGTGACTAAAGTGATCTTGGGCATGAATTCGGAATGTTAGTAGTCTTATTAAGAAGGATCTCATTGGATAAGAGTATTTGAATAGCCTCACACTTGTCTTTGTTGGTGGTATTTTAAAATGTTTCTTATGACATCCTGGTGACATCAGTATATTGGAATTTGCTAGTCTAGCATTCATATAGACTGCAGCAGCTTCGACATTGTGAGGAGTCTGGCTACTATAAAAATAGTTCGTGTTTGAGTTTAAATCGCGTGAAAATCACCATTCTTGTTGCTCAAACATAGTAACATTATTGTAGCTGGCACGGTATGAACTGACGACTTAAAAATGTATTTAAAAAAAATTTATTACAAACCAATGTTTTGACCTTTACATACTCTTTATACAATCGATAGTAAAATGCTAATGATGAAAATGCAGACGGTCCTGTTATCTAGTCTGTTATTGTCATTGTAACTTATTTATTTTAATGTAATAATACTAAGGAGTAAAGTAAATCATGGTTGATATAAAATTAGATGGAATCGTCGCACGTTTTCCTGCATTAGGCATATCTCTTAAAAGCAATTTGATGTGATTTTTGAGTAGAATGTTGCTAGCACATGTAGACGCTAAGTCGTGCTTATAAGCAATAATGTGTTGGCCGCCCAAGAATTTTCAATGTCAGTATGGTGCGCCGCTTTTAGTCTATGCATATTGTAAATATTTTAGAATAAGTCTTAATACTATCCGCCTTATGATAGTGGTGAATTTTAGTGTACATTCTGAAATGATACACAAATCCAGTATTTGTTCTTCTCACTGCTCTGGTTGGGTTGCAACATCAGTAGTGATTTTGTCATTATTTAATTGTCGTATTGATGCGATCACTTTTAAAACTATTTTTATGGCAGTATGTCTTCCCAGTTATTCTCTAAAGACGATTTTGATATACAGGTGGTATTTATTTTATTTCACTAGGATTTGAGAGAGTGATCTACTTTAAAAACACGAAAATAAAAACAAGATTGCCCCAAGTGTTGCGGTGAACACAGATTTTTTCACGACTTCACGTGGTTCGCGTATAGTAAATTTTTCGTTTTCTTTGGTAGAAGTAATTCCAAAAATATAGGGAAATAAGTAAATGTCGTTTATATAGATTCAAGAGTTGTCTTTATAGTCGTTTAACTCAATCAAGGCAAAATTGTTGATAAGGGCGGTAGACGGACCTTCGTTTCGCTATAATTGATTATAATGTACTTATTATTTTGGTGCCCTAGTTTTGCATGTAATATTACGCGCGTTATATTACGTACATGTACATAACGATGAATCCATACGCTTTGTTAAGAATAAGAGTGTTACATGTGTTTGTCAATTTATAACTTTTGGAGATTTTTTAATCGTAATGTAACATAAGGTATGTGTAAATATTTTGTGTAGTATTTTAGACCTTTTAGTGAACTGAGATTATGCATCTTGAATTAATTGTCCCAGATCCCATGCGGTTGTGAATAGTGACTTATTTCGTGTGAATTAGGTGCAATATGCACCAAGCGTCACTTAAATCTGGGACTCATGGCAATATTGAAACGTCTCTTAAATAAAGGGCTATGCGATTCGAAGTATAATTTGTATAAATAGATGAATATGTGCTTCGTTTTCAAAATGCTCTTAAGCCTTAAACGACGTTTTGGTATGCAATGGATAATCTTGTAATAACTTAATTTGCCATCTTGTGTGAACAATAGAATTCATGTAAAGTTGTATTACAAATTAAAAGTAGAAATTGAACTATTGTTATGGATATAGAAATTATATATTCTTTTGTGACACTCGATTTTTTTTTAAACAATCGTGAAGGTGAAATTAAGAGAAAATGATAGTTTTGTTTAAAAAGAAATCTATAATTATGTATAATTGTAGATAAATCCAATTCCTTATTTACTAAGTCGGCGAATGTTTCACGTTTTATTACTTATTAGTATATTCCGACCCAAACTATTCTGTGCCATTTCTCTTTGCAAATATCGGCTAGTATGCATTAAGGGTAGTTACAATGTCTTAAGAATATTACAAAGCCTAGAAACTAAACTTTAGTAAGCAAACTTAATGAAATGTATGGTGCAAGTAAAGCCTAGTACTAATACCTCTTAGACTTCTAAAGATAGTTCTAGTTGGCCGTTATCTTAATGTTAATTTTATATATCAAGATTTAGTTGTTAGGAAGTCAACTATGTTTCCTTTTAATAGATTTCATAGCAGAATAAGAGTGTCCAAGTTTGTCGAATGGTATTAGAAAAAGAACATTTTCTATTGTCAATTCAGTGGGAAATTTATATACCACTAAAACGCTCAGCAGAGTTCAGCATCGAGCATCCAAACGATATATAACTTAAAGTACGCATGCGGACGTCTTTAATAGTCGATATTACCACGGAAAACAGCAGATGTCGTTGTAGCCAGTTATTCGTGATATAGCCCGAATGCCGAAGCTTACACCGTCGATTCAAAACAACCGATTGTTTTCGTTAGTCAACCGGATTATCTCAATACTTGAAAATGGTACGGTTGGCCTCTGCTAGAGTTGTACAAACATGGCGTTCAAATCAATTAAAAAAAGTATTGGCTTGTACAGCTTGATGTGTGACTGAGAACGGACGGACGGGCAACGGAAAATAAGTTAGGAAATAATATTAGAATATTCTAAGTCTTGCCTCTTAAATACACATTTATTTTTATTTTATGTATATGTATCACGTAAATTATTATTGTCACCTATATGAACCCATTTTTTAAATTAACATACTATATATAATTAATATTTTTTTAAATTACAGCAGATTATTTGTAAACTGTATGTAATTAAAA